TCCACTGGGAAAAAACCCTCCGTTCCCTTGGAAAGACCCTCCATCCCTGGGACAGACCTTCCATCCCTTGACTATTCCTCAGGGCAGTCCCCTCGTTCCTTTTCCTCCCCTTCCCCAGCACAGGTCCCTTTGTTCATGCACGGCGTGGAAGTTGTCCCATTCCCACTCTCCGTGTATCTGCATCATCTTCTAAAGATGTCAACTGGACACATGACCCCAGGGGCCTGGTGGCTTCACTCCCCAAGCCTGGGGATAGTTGTAGGGCTTTCTGCTGGCAGCAGCCACAAGCCCCTCTCCTTATCTTCCGGCATGGAGACCCAGAGGGGATCTGGCGAGCTGGAGGCTGGGGAAGTGCAGAAACGCTTCTCCAGGAGCTGTTTGCAGCCTGATGCTGCTCCAGCTGGTGATGATATCCTTCATGCCACGCATTTGGTGGGGGGCAGGAGGGGGACTGAGAGGGTTTACAGCTCAGGGAGGTACTCCTCCCCGCTTCTCTGTGCCCAGCAAAGACACCTCGTTCCCTGAAAGAAAGAGGCGAGTGGAGCGTTTCGGTCGGCAGCACGAGGGTGCTCGGAGGATGACAGGCAGGGAGGTGTTTTCCTGTCAGCTCTGCCAGCCTGAAGACCTGATGCAATAAGTGTCTGTGTGAGTAACCCTAATTTAGGCAAGGGGCTGGATTAAAGCCAGGGAGGCTGGAGGACTCGGTGGGCAAACACACCCTTCGGAGCTGGTCACCACAGGGAGGGTGGAAAGGGAAGCAGAGGTGAGGAGAGAGCTGAGCTTGGGTGGCAGAAACGTCTCCAAAGGGCTGGGTCCTTGCTGTTGACTCCCCAGAGCCTGAGCTACTTAGTGGAAAGGAACTGGGAGGATCCTGGTGAACCTGGAGCCCCAGGTTTGAACCTCCTGGGAACACACTTGAGCCTCGCTGGAAAGGCTGGAGTTGAAAGCAGAGCAGCACGAGCACAGCCCAGGGGTGCTCAGTTCTGACACTGCTCCCCCATCACCAGCATCATCCTCCTCGAGCCAGTCCAGGTATTGGTGCCTGTGATACCACTGTGCTTTTTCTGGGGTCAGAAAATGATTTATTATCAGCCAGAAACTGCCTCCCACCAAAGCCTTTTGGGGGCAGGGAGTGGAGAGATGGGAGGAGGAAGGCTGGGAACAAAAGCTCGGGGCACGTGGAAAGGAGAATGAAATCAGGGGAGGATGTTTTCCTGTAGTAGCCTTGGGGAAATGCTGCATTTGCTTTGGTTACAGCTGTGTGATAGCCTGGGAGATGGCTTTAAGTTTTCTGGTGATGTGTATTTTTGTTTCTCTGCTGTTGCTGCTGGACCATCCCAGCTGGGATAATGTGGAGGGGAAGGAGGGAGGCAACCAGTGAGGCTTCCAGGTGTCCCCAAAATTTCTGTGGTGTAGGCAGCCTCTGGCACCTGCCTTTGGAGGTTCTGGAGCTGCTCTCCAAGATCAAACCCCGTTCCAGACCCCTGGGGATGGAGTTTGCCAGCAGCCTGTCTCCATCGGCACGTGCCCCGCTGTCCCCAGGCCTTGCTTGGTCAGGGGCACAGTTTTTGCATCTCTTGAAGGGATTGCAGATATCACTCTGTAGCAGTGAGGGTGGGCAGGGTCACCTGCTGTGATGCTTCTCCCTCCTCACTGCCCTTCTGAGCTCCAGCTAAAGAGGACTGAGATTGTGAGGAGCGGTGTCCTGGGGACATCCTTGCTCCTGAGGCCCGTGCTGGGGGACAGCAAGGGATTTCGTGCTGGTTGCTGACAAGCTGGTGCAGTTTGTGAAGCCATTGCTTGTGGGGGTGTGAGGGCCCCGGTGCCTGGCCAGTCTGTGCTGTAGGAGGGGGCTCCAGGCCCTGGGAAACTGGGGGTTGCAGTGTTGAAAAACCCTCTTCAGGTTCAGCTTCTGGAGCTGAGCTGTGGGTGAAGATGCTCTTTGGCCTGGGGGGAAACATCAGGCACCTCCCCTGACAGTCCTCGACTCTTCTCTGTTAGCAATCGTCCTCCCTCACCCCAAAACAGTGGGATTATGTGGTCCTGGAGCAGCCTCTGGCTACCCTGTGATTTACCAGTCTGCCCAGTCGTGTACTGGAATTGCATCAGCTTTGTTTGCCTTTCAGCAGTCTTAGTGTGGAGTGTGAAGAGTCTGGAAGAAATAGCTTCTCCTGCTCCTGTTACACTTGGTGGGAAGAGTTTCCCACTGACTTCAGTGGAAAGCTCTGTCCAGGGGGAGCTGGCTGGAGTCACTCGCGCCACCGTAAATCAGGGCTTGTTCTCCGGGAGCCCTCGGTGTGCCAGGAACGTAATTCCGGGTTAATTGATGAAAAAGCAACGCTTGCAGCCTCCTGTCCTGGTTCAGGGCTGCCAGCTCTCATAAGGAACTCTTTATGTGACAACCTTGGCTCGTGCTCAGAGGCAGGGTGGGGGGGGACAGGGGAAGGAAAGGTAAATTTTCTGGTGTGGTGGAATAGCCAGGCATTTGAAATAGCGTTCCTGGCAGGATGCAAACCTCACAAAACAGTGTGGGGAAAAAAAAAAAAAAAAAAAGAATTGAATGCTTCCCCCACTCTCCCACCCCCACCCCTGAAATCTTACAGTTTGTCTCTTTAACCTCAGTAAAATATTTGTTGAGGGACCTGAGTCATCACTTTTTGCTGCTTTGGCTCAGTTTCCCGGCTGCTGGCTTTGCCAGGTTACTTGTTTGGATCGCAGGAGCAGGGGAAAAATTAATCCCCAGGAAATCAGGTGAGTTTGGAGATCGTAACATTGTTGCTGTTAAAATGCCAGAAAAACAAATGAGTGTGGAATTCGGCAAGAAGGGCTCCACTCTTTATTTGCCTGCTGCTTTTGCTGAGGCTTTGTGTTCGGGAGCTGTCATATTTTCTGCCTGTAGCCAGCAGGAAAAAATCTTGTGTCTAAAATAGTCGCCTTCCCCCCAGCCCTGGATTTTCCATCATCACGTGATTCCAGAAGCTGAGGATTTAGGAAGAAACATCAGCTGTCGTGAGGCTGATTTGAAAAACGAGACGAGCTGCGAGCGCGAGTCTTGCTTTTAAACAACAAGTCCGGTGCTCTGCAACCATTTAAACCCGGCCTGATGTTCCCTCAAGCGGTGTCTAAAGCTGTTGGGAAGGGGTTGAGAATTTATCAGACGTCATCCCCTTTAAAACCACCGCATTCCTGTGCCACTGGCACGCAGTTCTGTCTCAGGGTGAAGCTTTCGCACATCGAGTGGCAGCATCTCCCTCTGCTGCAAAGCAGGCCAAAAAAAATTCAAATTCTGTAGGGAAGTGTTGGATTGTAGCGATGAAAATCCCACCCGTGAAGGGGAGGGGGTGGTGGGGTGGAAGGGGGAAGGTGGGCCCTGGCCATGGGGACATCAGCAGCGCTCCATGGGCTTGGTGTCGGCGTCCCAGTGCAAACGAGCATTGCACACAACTACCCATAAACTAATATTTATTTATCTTATCAGCTCTAAAGCCCTGGCTGCTCTGGGGATGAAATGGTGCATGGGATGGAGGGACCTGCCCGCCTGCCTGCTGCTGGGGCTGTTCTGGCTGGCACGAGGCTAGGCTGGCACGTGGTGAGGTTCAAAAGCAGTTAAAGGTATTTCTGATCACTTCAGTGATGATTTTTTTTTTCCTTCCCCTCTCACATGTGATACACGGTGTTGGCTGGGAATAGGAATCCAATTAAGATTCAGAAAGCCAGCATTTTTTGTTTTCAGTAAGGTAGGAAAGTGGTTAATAAGTTAAACAGCCTGTTCCATACATGGCATGTATTTAACACGTGGGAGGTTCCCTTTGCACCTTCGAGGGAGCCCTGCTGGTGCTTGTCCTTTGCAGCCCAGCCACGGGGCTGCCCTGATCCTTTACATTTCATAGGGCTTGTCCTTAAAGAAGTCCACCTTTTCCTCCAAATCCTGTTTTGAAACAGATCTATTTCCCCCTCTTTGGAAAGCGTGCCCAGCTCCCATACGGCTGCTGCAGGAGGGAGCAGAGAATTATTTATATATATATTTATATTTATATATATATATATATATAAAGCTGGAAGTTAAAATCTGCCCCAGATCCTCAGAGTGCCTTGTCCTCCCTTCCTGCATCTCCTTGGTTCGCATGTTTGTCCCACCCGGAGCACGTGTCTGGCGAGAGCATCGCTGCCTCGGGGAGGTAGGAGATTTTGTGTTCGGCGTTCCCCTCGTTCGGGTGGAGGCTCCCACGGGTGTCTCCCGTGGCCGTGCTGCTCCCGCAGGACTCAGCCTCTCCCTCAGCCGCAGCCGAAGGGCTCCGGAACGCAGCGAGGGCAGAGCTGGCACATGAACCTTCTTGAGTCCGCTTTTTTAGGGCGGTTGTGTACAGAGTTTGACGTGATCGCCACGGTTCACAGTGACATCACGACGCTTTCTGCCCTAAATCACAAATTTCCCTAAATTGAGCCCCAGAGGAAAGTTGTAGTCAAGCGAAAATGTGCAATCCTTCTCTGCAAATCTAAGCCAAATACGTGCGTGCCAGTGGAGGTGGGAATGGGGTCGCTCGGCGCGGCTCGGCCATCGCTGCGTGTCCTGAACGGAGGACGCCGCTGCACTCTCGCCTCGCCCTGCTCCTCAATTGCCCTTTCTGCTTTCTGAGCAGCAAAGACTGGAAGCCACCCACGGAATCTGCGAGCCGGGCATGCCGCGGGTGCGAGATGGGCGATGAGTGCCGGGGCGGGCACAGGGTGAGCAGCAAGGCTGGGCTCTGCCTCCTGCAGATGCACCCCTGGCGCAGCTGTCTGGTAGCAGCCGTCAGAGCCCCCCTCTATTTCTCTCTGGTTTTGAGGAAGGACTTTTGTGTGTGTGTGTGCCCTTTTTTTTCCCCAGTTTCTGATTTTTCTGAGCACCCTCCCAAAACGCGCTTGAGCCCCTGCAGCTCCTCCCGTCCCGTGTCAGCGGTCGGTGCTGCCTCCCTCCCTCCACACGTCACCGCGGGGTGTGGAGGATGGAGTTTTGCTTTCGTTTGCCCGGCCGGAGCCCTGGGCTTTCCGAGGACGGGTGAGAATTACGGAAACACCTTTGCCGCCGGCAGCTCGGGGGCCCTGCTTTCTCCGGAGCGCTCAGCTCAACTGCTCTTCGGGGCTCGTGATTTCTCCTCAGTAAGTGGCTTTAGATACTTTGGGGAGAGCGTGATGACATTTTCAGGCTTCATCTGGAGAACAAATCCTGCTGCTCTTTGCTCCCCGGTGCCGGGACAGGCTATGGTGTCCGAGGCTGCCTGCGTGCCTGAAGCACTGAAAGGTGTTCGGTTTTTTCCACATCCCCGTCTCGCTGAGATCTCCAGTTTTGGTGCCTCTGTGGGTGTGATCCCCTCTGTGAGGACACGGGTCCATCCTCTGGCCTTGGAAGGGTGGCCAGGCAGCAGCTGTGCCCCTGCAGTTGTAGGGGGGACCAGCCTTCACCCCAGACAGAGCTGGGCACTGCGGGTGGGAAATGCCTGAGCAAGAGATGAAGCATCAGCCACTGTCACACCGAGGTGGCCACCAGCTGTTGGAAGTGGAATTTCGCAGCGCCAGTGCTGGCTGTTGGCACAAGCAGCTTTACCTATCGTAGCCCATTAGGGACCATTTCCATCAGGAAGGGTTTGTTGGAGAAGTCACTTAAATTAGGTTGTCCTGAAACGTTTTGTCCTTCTGTATCTGGCCCCTAAACTAACTGTGGGTAGTGTCAGGCTGGAAACAAGAGCCCTGCCTGGGCATCTCCCTCTGCCAGGTGTAGCCCAAACTTCTGTGAATTCGGGGGAGTTTGAGCTCAGTCCCAGCCATGCTGCCCCCGCTGGGATGCTCACAAACAGTTTTCAGCCTTTCCCTGCCTTGTGTGAGAGAGATGAAGGTCCTCTGATGGTGGCAGATACCCGAGGAACACGTTTGCAGGGATGTCCCTTTCTGCCTCCCAGGCTGCTCAGCCGTGGCAGAGGCGTTTGCTGGGGGCACCAGCAGATGTGTACAGGACTAATTGCACGTGTGTGCAGAAGGTAATGAGGCTGTTACGAGGACCAGGTGCAAACTGATGAATCCTCTGTGTTGCCCAGGCGAGACTAAGAGGCAAATATCTTTGCTTTGCGAAAGAGCTCTGGAGGTGACTCTTGTTTGTTGATAGGAGAGAGCAAAGTGGCCTCTGTGGGTTCTGACAGTGTGGGGAGCTGCACTGGGCATCCATGGAGGTGTATCCTGGCTTTTCCTGGCATCTCTGGCTCAGTGTGTGCTGCATTTCAGCTTTTCTGCTGCTCTGGGCAACCAGTTTGCATGTCCTCACACTCCTCTCCTTTGCTTCAATCTTCTGACAACCCCTTTTCACCTGGTCTTAATCCTCCCTTGGGTACAGCTGCTCTCCCTGTGTGTCTCCACTGCCTGTAAGATCAGATATGTGCTTTACAGGAGCCCCAATTTACCTGTTTGGAACTTCTCTCTCTCATTTTTCCCTTCCTGGAAGGAGATTTGCTTCCACAATTGCAGTAGGCTGTAGTGGGACAGCCCGAGTGGGAAAACTGAGTCCCAGGTGACTTGTGTGGGGTATTGCAGAAATCACAGATCATCCCAAAGAAGGGGAAGGGAATCCCTGGGAGGGATCCTGAGGGACTTTACATGGTGTCACCTGTACTTCTGGGGCTGTTTCAAGTGTGTCTGGTATTGGCTGTTAAATAGGTCTGATTTCTCAAAGGAGAGGAGATCACTGAATTTGTGGCACTATTAAGAGTTTAAAAAGCCCCCAAAATGTTTCAATTAAAGCACAGCTTTATTTTTTAAGTTCAAGTTTTTGTCTTGTTGATCCTTAAAACAGAGCTCAGGTTTTTTTTCTTGTTAATCCTTAAAACTGCTGCTCCTGAGGCTGCTCTTCTGCAGAGGGAAGGGGAACCTCTCTAAGACAATTTACAAAACAGGTATCTCCTTCCCTTCCTGCTCTTTCAGATAAGAGAGGAAGTCAAGGTCCTAGGTTTTCCTGCCAGCCATTATGTACGTGCTTTGGGGTTCTGCTGCAGAGATCAGGTGGCCGTGGGGTGAGTAGGAGGAGAAGAACATCTGTGTGCCTTGCTCTGGGACTCTCAGACATTCACCTCAGAAATTCTGGGTGGATCCAGGGCTTGCATGTGCTCCCAGCCAGCAAAACCCTTCTCTGAGGGATGTTGTGGACATGGAGCAGCTTGGAAGTGACCCAGCCACGAAGGAAAAAGCGCTCGAAAGTTATGAAGCACAAAGAAGCGTCCAGCTCGGGAGGTCCTGGAAGCTGGAGCCCAGACAGGATTTGGGGATCATGTCCCTCCCTTCTGATCCTGCTCTTGTGATACCTCTCCAGGCATCTCCTGTGGCCAACGGCAGACAGGACCGTGGGGCAGTCAGAGCTTCAAGCCTGTCCCTGGGGCCTCTCCTTGGTAACCTGGCCGTGTCCTGGCAGGAGAACACGTGTCTGCATGATGGGCACAAGGCTGGCAGCTGGGATTGTACTTTGGGAGGATATTTGGCCACGGATGCCGAGCGAGTCACAGGACTTTGTTCAAGGCGGCAAATGTGAGGAGAGGAGAACAAAAACAGGAGGAGGGACTGGAATACAGATGATGGTGAGCCAGCTCAAATACCCCCTGAATTTAAAGCATCTTCTGGTATGTCAGAACGCCACCAGCTCGCTGAAGCCTGGTGATGCCTCAGATGTGAAGCCTCTGAGCTGGAGGGACCTGTGGCTGCTGCCAAGGGGTCAGGGGCTGACCCCCCACCTGGCCCTGCAGAAAGTTCTGGATCCATGCTGGTGCAGCAGGAGTAGAGTTGGCTCTCCAGTCTCTGCCTCAGCTGGCACTGGCCACCTCTCCTCTGTCTGGGCCCAGGGAGCAGGACACACTGAGCACAGGGGCTGGAGCACGGGCGGTGTGCTGAGCACCGAGAGGATGTTTTGGTGCCTGCCAGCCCTGGGAAAAAAAAAAAAAAAAGGTTTTTCCACTGAGTCACTTGCTGCCTCTGCTTTTTTGTGAGACAGCACTGAGATCTGGGGGAAGGGGAGATGGAAAAACTCCTCCCTGCTCCGGCAGGGCCAGGTCCATGCCAGCACAGCTGCCCCGTGTTTGCTTCTCGGAGGGAGCGGCAGACAGACAGCGGCATAAATAGAACAGGCCTGGCTATTTTAAGACATCGATTACATGATCTGTGCATTAAAGAAAAATTAAGTGAAATCTCTGCTTTAGCTGCAGTGGATGGCACAGGCTGGGGAGGAGCAGAGCCAGGGGCTGAACAGGTACAGGCACTTTGGAGCCAGCGCCCCGGCCACGGCGCGTGAGCCGTGAGGACTTTTCCTTCTCCTCAGAGCCCCAGTAGATGGAAGGTTGCCCACATGTGCCACTGTTCTGGTGTCACACTGCCACCCTTTTGGCGTTGCGCTGCTGTGGACAGGGAGTGATGGCACGAGACAGGCTTGGTCTAGGGAAGAGGGAACGATGCTTGGGAAAGGTGTGTGGTGTTGTAAACGGATTTGTGCGTGCAGGCAAGGACGGGGATTTTCTTTTTCTGGAGAAGTTTCTGGGTTCCTGTGGAGCTGGAGTGGTTGCACCACTCTTTCCCTGAGCAGCAGGCTGGGATGAAGAGCTGGTGTTTCCTGGTGGGGGTTAAAAACCAGGCTTGTTTCTGGTGACTTAGTGCCAAGCAGAAATCTTGGCAGGTAAGAGGAGAGGGCTCTGAGCCTTGGAAGCTGGAGCTGTTTTCTGCTCAGTATTTATTGCACTCAGGACAGCCAGCAGTGAGCCCAGAGCTCCCTCTCCCACAGGGATCACCCTACCCCTGCCCCCTATCCCCAGTCCAGGTTGGAAGCTGAGCTGCAAGGGAAGAGGGCAGCAGCCCAACTCCCAGCAGCGCAGGGGCTTGTAAATACTCATGCCCAGGCAAAACAAACAGATAGTATTAATTGGGGCTACAATGCCAAACAGAAGCAGATGGTTTATCAAGGTGGAGGAAGGCAATGTTTGGGGGGTTTAGATAAAGTGGGTGAGCCAGGAGCCACTCTTGAAAAAGAAGACAGAAGGTATCGAAGCAGCTGCTGAGAAGAGCTCACTCTCCACTGGCAACCCCAGCCACAACGGTTTGTTAGTATAAATTATTCTGAAAATGCTTTTTCTTATCTTTCTCCCCCTGCCCTTTCTGCTGAATTGAAGACCTTTGGTGGTTTTTGTCAAGTAAGCTGCACATCAGACAGCAAGGATGGAGTGTGGGGTGGGGCTTTGCACTAATAATGGCATAAAACCCATTTCTATCTGCAAAATGACTTTTGGTAAGATCTTAGGTAGATTTTTAGTCAGGGCCTTGTAAATCATGCCGTGCTTCAGGTCGTGCAGTGGTTGTCACGTTTGCCTTGCACCTCTCTGAGCCAACTATTGCCACTTTTTCACTGCTGCTAGAGCCACTGCCTGCTGCTGGCTTGTGGATCTGAATGGAGACAGGGCTGAACCAGTGCTGGAGCTGCCCTCCACCCTACTCATCCTCACAATCTCACCCCTTTCCCTCTGAGGATTTGAGGGGCAGAGCTCAAATTTGACTCTTGCAGCTTAGATCCATGGTCCATGGCTTGGGACCAGCCGGAGAACAATCAATTTTTGTGATGGAAGGTGGTGTGGAAATGTAATTCCTCCCCACAAAAAAAAAAAAAAAAAAAAAAAAAAAAAAAAAAAAAAAAAAAAAAAAAAAAAAAAAAAAAAAAAAAAAAAAAAAAAAAAAAAAAAAAAAAAAAAAAAAAAAGGTTGCCTTTCCTTGAAAATCTGTTATTTATGGAGCAAACTCTGTAGGTGCTCTGCTGGGCTCCCACTCAGGATGTCTGCCTGGTGGGGTGGCCACATGGAGAGGGTGACTGGGCAGGGCAGATGCTTTGGGGCCGGGAAGACCCCATGACTTAGATTACATGTGTAATTTAGAGATCCACGCTCTACACGTGGCTCCTCTGTCTGTGCCCGGCTCACCAGCGCTGACAGAACGTTTGCTGCCCTTCAGCACTGAGGTTCCTCCCCGTTCTGGTGTCCCACAGAGTGCCTGGAGCTGCTGCCACCGGAGCCCATGGCGTACACCGTGACTCCCACGCCGCCGGGGCCCGTCGGCTCCCAGTACTGTGTCTGCAAAGTCGAGTTGTCCATCTGCGGCCAAAACCTGCTGGACAGGGATGTCACTTCCAAATCCGACCCCTTCTGCGTCCTCTTCATGGAAGTCAACGGGAAGTGGGTAGAGGTAAGTGCTGGTGTGGTGTGGATTCACTCCTCCTGTGTTTGCTCGTGCTACAAGGCTGGTCCTTGTTCCCCCACGAGCAGAAGTGGAAGCTCTTCTGGTCCTCCCAAGGCTGTGAGGGTGGTGCTGTTGTGCTCATTGTTCTGTTTTGCAGCCGGTCCTTTTCCCATCAGTGCTTTCTACTTTGTGCTGGGGGTTGGCTTTGACTGCAGATCTCAAAATGCCGACCTCTGGCAATGCTTGTGGCGGCTGTGAAAGGATCTTTCCACCCTCAAAGAAGTCCCAGCCCCTTCTCAGGGTGCTGTGAGCTGCTGGTGCTTTAGATTTGGGCACCTGAAATGCTGATCCCACGTGAGATTTAGAAGTTGTGGGGTTTGACGTTGCAGTGTGGTGTGTTGTGGGTGAGTTCTTGGATCCTGAGTTGCATGGGAAGCTGGTCTTTGAGTTTAACTTGGGAAGTGGCTCTTTCTCAGGATCAGGAGTGTGCTGGATGAGGGTCTAGAAGGTCAGTCCAGTGGAAAAACGCTACCCAGGGCAGCTAGTGCTGTAGCCTCCTTCAAGAAGTGTGTGAAGGTCGATGCTCCTTGAGCTGGGCATTTCATGGACTGTTGTGGACAGAGAAGGACCATGGGATGGGGAAGGAGACTTTTGGGAGGTGGGTGTGTGGTAGCCTGGACCAGTTCAACTGGAGACAGACAGCAGCCAGCTGGCAAATCCTGGATGAGCAAATCCTTGCAGACACTGGTCTTCCCTCCTTACCAGAAATCTCACAAATACGGGTTTCAACTGCCATATTTCATAGTGGGAAGCCCAGAGAAGAAACTGCAGATGATCTTGTTATTTTTTTCTTGTTTCAGAAGCTGTCATCTCCTTATGAATAAGAAAGGTAATTCCTAAGGAAAGAGAGGAGGGGAGGGATCAGGACAGGGACTGAATTCCTCCTAAGCAGATGACACCAGGCTGTGTGGTGCTGTAGAAGGGATGGGTGGGAAGGGATGCCATCTGTGACAGGCTGCAGGAGTGGGCCTGTGCAAACCTCCTGAAGTTCAACAAGGCCAAGGGCACCACCCTGCAGATAAAAGGCTATTTAAGGACAGGAGGTGGCGGGTGAACCCCGGAGATGCAGACAGTGCACAAGGAGCACTGTGTGTGGTTCCCAGCCCTCCTCTCCGGTGGGACGAGGCTAACCAGGCTACTGGAGCGGGAGGGAATCGACCCTCAGCAGCTGCCTGAATTATTCTGTAGCATAAGCAAAACGCTGGCTTGATCCCAAAAGCTTGCTTCCCAGCGTGCCCACCAGCTGTGTGTGTATTCCTTCGAAACCCTCCCCCCTGGGGGGAAGGGGCAGGGGGTCAGGCCGCAGCGGGAGCTGGAGCTCACCCAGAGCTGCCCGGATTGGCTTTGAGCAGCGTGACCTTGGTCATCACCACTAGTGCAAGAGGTCTCACGTGGGTGGGTTGTCCCTGGGAGGTGCATGGCCCAGGCTGGTTTTGCAGTCCAGTGGGCTGGGAGCTCCAAAGGACGGTTTTTGTGGCGCTTTAGGGACTGTTCAGGGTCCCACGTGGAGAAGCTCTGGTCGTCGTCTCCTTCTGCAGCAGTCAGGGCTGGGCAAGGTGCTGTCTGTGATAAAATTGGGGACATGAGTCCAAACTCCAGAGTCTGTGCAAAAGCATTTAGCTCTGATTAAAAACCTTTTGACTATGGGGCAAAGACTCCGTGCTAAAACACCTGCAGAAAAATAAAAATAGGTGTTCCATTTTATACCTGCACCTGTAGATGGGAGGGAGGGAGCAGGTAAGAAGAGTATGAGGGTGTGATGGTGTAGGCACCAGTGTTGGATGCAGCAGAAAATAAGTAGCCAAAGGTCATTAAATTGTGTAAACCAAACAAAAATTTTCAGGTACTTGGACAAGTTGAGCAGCCTTTGAGCACTTGGCCAAGGAGTTGGTGAATCAACGGGCATCATTTCAGCTGTCCAGCAGCTGATCTCCTCACGTTCAGGGGGGAGGGTGTACGGGCAAACCTCACCTTGCTGTGGCCCACAATTAACTTTTCTCAGCTGCCTGGGTGAGACTAATGAGCTTTGCAGCCTTGATAGGTGTCATCTCTGACCTGATTCTACTTTTCAGGAATTTCTCTTTCTGTCAGTAATGTCTCAGTCCAGCAGCTTTGATTCCAAAGCTTCCTTCAGAATACAAAAGTGTGGTGCATTTAGTTTTTTTTTTCTTTTCTTTTCTTTTCCTCTGCTATTTTTAGCTTCTTTTTAATTGGCACGCTAGGCACTGGACGTCAGCCTTGAGCAGCAGCTTGCTCAGTGCTCCTCTGCCGTGGTGGCTGAACGGGCTGGTGTGGTGTGCTCGTGTGCCACTGAGCTGCTCCAGTCAACTGGCATGACAGGGGCACAGCCAGGGGCACCCACAGTGTCAGCAGTGACGTGGGGTTTTGGGTCATGGCTGGGTGCCGGGGAGACAAGTCAGGAGAGGTGGGGTTGCCTGTGAGATTTGGATGGGACCCTTGGCAGCTCATGCCACGTGGTTCAGAGGCACCTGGGGTGCCCACATGGTTCTGCGTGGATTTTGGCCACACAGACGTGCCCCTTGCCCTCAGATGAACTTCTTTCCTGTCTGAAAGCGGTGGCCTTAATGACACAGCTGACATGTAGGGGACAGAATAAGCTTGTTGGTGTGAACCCGTCCCACCACACTGCCCCTCTGTCCTCTGCACTGGATTGGGGGCACCGTAGGGACCTGGTTTGGGTGGTGGGTGTCCTCCTTCAGGACCAGCCCTGGCCACAGTGATGCTGGTGTAGGAGCTGGGTGGCAGGGCTGTGGCACCAGCTGATGCCAGCAGGAAGATTGCTGCTCGCTGTTCTCTCTAGCTGTCACATTTGTTCCCAAATACAATTATTTTGTCTCGCTGAGCTTAATAGGAATTAAAAAATCTTTGTGAATCAGCCTTGGAGGGGTGGGGGAGGGAGGGACAATAAAGCACAGGCCGGGAAGTGACACGAAGATGGGTGATGTTTAAATGTTCTGCCCGGTTACATCATCTCGCTGGAGCCACGAAAGACCTGACCTTTGGTGCCAGTAGCAGGGACACATGACTCAGCCATGCAGCTGCCTTTTTGCCACTCTGAGTCATCTGGGTGGCACGAATGTCCCTTGGCACCTGGGAGAGCATCTCCCAGTGTCGGAGCATGCGGCACTTGCAGGTGCCGGGGATGCTTGGAGATCTCCAGCCAACCTTCTTTGGGATGCTGGAGGACTCTCTGGCTGCATTCACTGAACACAAGGGCTGTTGCTGGAGATGGTCTCCTGATTTCATGTTCTGCGATTTTCACAATCGTAGAATCGTGGGATGGTTTGGCTTGGAAGGGACCTTAAAAATCATCTTCTTCCAACTCCCCTGCCACAGCCCTTGTTCAGAGCCCTGTTCAACATCCAGGGACAGGGCAGGCACAGCTTCTCTGCCAGTGCTTCACCACTCTTACAGGGAGGAATTTTTTTCTTATATCCAATCTAACCTTGCTCTCTGTCAGCTTTGATCCCTTGTCCTCTCACTCCATGCCCTCTTCCAAAGTCCCTCTCCAGTTTGGAACCCTTTTAGGTACTGGAAGGTGCTCTAAGGTCTCCCCTGGAGCCTTCTCTTCTCCAGGCTAACCAATCCCAGTTTTCTCAGCCTTTCCTCATGGTAGAGGTGCTCCATCCCTCTAATCATCTCCATGGCCCTTTGAGGCTCATATCCAAACAGATATCTTTAATTAGTTTGGCTGCCTCTTAAAAAACCCTTGTGCCTTTCTGCTCCTGGGTGGCAAAGCAACCTCTGCTCTTTCCAAAGTCTGCAGACCTGTAAGCTCTGGGGACAAGGGGGTGGCAGGAGCTGATAGCAGGTGATGTTGTGTCAAGAGGCCTAATATGTGGTGATCACCAGCAAGGTGATTTGTGCTCCTCAAACCAAAGACCAAACCTTGTGCAGTTGTCAGCTGTGGCTTGGGACGCTGTGCTTCGTGCTGACACTAGGCAGGAGATTAAACAGTTTAATCTGGGTGTTGAAGGAAGCCCAAACACTCCCAAGGGTTATCTCGAGTTGCCTGGGGTCCTCTTCCCCTTCCCCTGGGCCACCCCTTTCAGGGCAGAACTGGAGATGGAACCTCAAGGTGTCTCCTTGAAGCTGGTGTCCGGGAGTGAAAGGACTGGTTCCCCTTCACCTCTGGCTTCCCAGTAGTTGAAAGAACATGGAAGCAGCTAAAATTTATCTTTGCTACCTGTGCAGTCTCATCTTCTGGTCTTGAGAGGGCACTTACCTTTGTTGTGCTGCTGAGATAAGGTGGAGCTGGGGGTGCCTCTGCTCCTGGTTCACCCCACCTCTGAGCTTGGCTCCTTCGGTACGAGGTGGCAGCGGAGAGAGAGGGATCTGTGTGAAGGTGTGTGGCCCTGGCCAGCTCCCAGCCCACTGGTGTTGATGGATTCGGTTCCCCGGAGTGCAGCAGGTGGCTATTCTGGGAACACAGCATTTACTTTAGTCGTTTCTTGGCAATTAAGACAGACTAAGCGAGCAACTTCAAAAAGAAAAAAAAAAAAACACACTGCGATCGTTGGGTGTGTATATATATAGCAAACCCACCACATTTCCACTCAACCCCTCCAAAACCTGCCTCCTGTTCTCAATGAGTTTCTTTGGGACTAAGGTATGTGTTTGCTTTGCTTTTTTTTCTTTTCCTTTTTTTTTTTTTTTTTTTTTTTTTTTTTTTTTTTTTTTTTTTTAATTTTTTTTTTATTGAGGCTTTTTTTCTGCTCCGCTTATTCCTGGCTCTGCGGCTCTGGCACACATCCTGCTGTCCCGCTTCCCAGGGATGCCAGCACGGGGGCTGCTTCCTGCACAGGCCATGCCCTGGGATCTGGGATGCACAGGCAGCTCAGTCCTGCCCACGACTGAGTGTCCTGGCAGCGAGATGAGGTGGAATGCCAGCCAGGGCCATGGCATGGCCAGAGGATTCCTGCTGTCTGTCCCACAGGCAGGTGGGATGGCCTTGCCAGGGCAGCAGCTTTTGATGAAGCCACACTGGAGATCTCCTGCCTTTGCTTCTCTTTTAATAGCCATATCCTGGGATAAGGGGGGGATGGGGCAAAATGCTGGTGCTGTCGTGACAGCGTCCACTAGGTCAGGTCAGGAAGCCCCATCCAACCTGGCCTTGGACACTTCCAGGGATGGAGCAGCCACAGCTTCTCTGGGCAACCTGTGCCAGGACCTTCCCACCCTCACAGGGAAGAATTTCTTCCCAATATCTGACCTAACCCTGCCCTCTGTCAGTTTGAAGCCATTCCTCCCTCTCCAGCTCTCTTGGAGCCCCTTTAGGTGCTGGAAGGTGCTCTGAGGTCTCCCCAGAGTTTCCTCTTCTCCAGGCTGAACTGTGGGGCCTGATGTTCAGACTCTCCTTGGCCATTGACTTCCAGAAGTCAATACACCAGCTTTTCTCAGCCTCAGTTTCCCAGTTTTCCCATTTTCTGACACTTTGGCTAAAACTCTCGTTTTGCTCTGGCTGAAGTCAGAGAAGAGACACGGCAGTGACAAAGCTCAAGGTGCAAGTACCTAAATGCCTTTTTTTTTAATCTTCTTTGCAGCTCGACAGGACAGAGACAGCCGTGAACAACCTCAACCCGGCTTTTGCCAAGAAATTCATCATCGACTACCACTTTGAAGAGGTGCAGAAGCTCAAGTTTGCCCTGTTCGACCAGGACAAGTCGAGCACGCAGCTGTACGAGCACGACTTCCTGGGCGAGTTCTCCTGCACCCTGGGCATGGTGAGCCCCTGAGGTCCCTGCAGCAGAGGGACCCCAAATCACATCAGCCACAGGGAAGGGGTGGGATTACAGCTGCTGCTCTTATCCACTGCAAAATTTTCTGGGTCCTTCCTGGCAAAACAAATTTAATTTGTTTAATTTGCTTGTCACACTTCAGCTGTTGAGATTGAAGCCTTCCACATTAGGGCTGTTGTCTGCTTGCTGGAGTCTAAGCTAGTCGTGGTGTGGGCTTCTGGTGCTGGCAAAGAGGCATCAGCTGGAAGCTTCTGGGGGTACCTGTTATCTCACCATGGGTTACAGTGAGAGCCCTGATGACCAGCTGGATTTGGGCTTGAAAAAACATCCAGGTGTTTAAAGTTAGGATGCATTGCTGTCTACCCTCCTATCTCAGTTTTTTTCCTCTTTCTGAACGCTTTGTCCATTGCTGCTGTGTAGGAAATCATCTCTCCTGCTTGAGCATGTTGGTGCTGGAATGTGTCTTCTGCTCTTCCCGTGGAAAAGCTTTCAGGACACAATGGGATTTATAAGCCTTTGGAAGATCTTTTCCTTCATGAGCCCAGACCCTGTTAGAAGCTGGCAGCTCCCTTCTCCAAATGTCTTTGTCTTCTGACTCAGAAGCAGAGAATGAGGGGGATTTTTTTTTTTTATTTTTCCATTCTTTCGCAGCAGCTCCGGGCTGCTGTGGCTGGGAGAAACTGCTCCAGTGCTGGGAGTGGGGAGAAAGGAGGTTCTGTAATAGGTGGGTCATTGTGGAGAACTGGGAGGCTCAGAGAGGCCCATGAAGGTGATCAGTGTATTACACAGACTGCAGGATGGCACTGCGTGTGCCAGGCGGCACAAGTGACTTCACCCCTGCCAGCTCAAGAGCTTGACGTGTTGGAAGAGCACTGACATTTACAGGGTTTGAAGTTTAGTGTCTGGAATTTTGGAGGCGCTCTGTGATGACCTAATTCTGCTCCTGCAGAAGTCAGGAGGCAGTGCAGGCAGCAGCCCTGGCCCGTGGTCAGTGGTTTAGCCCAAGCCCATCCTCCACCAGCAGTTCTGTTGTTGCTGAAGCACAGCCAGGTCCTGTGAGTGGGGCAGCTCAGCAGGGCTGCTAGGGAAGGTCGTGGTCCTGGTGGAAGGTGCAAGCAGAGAATTTATGGACATAAAGAAACAGTAGAACCTTGCTGTTCCTAAATGTGGCTCTGCAGCATCCAGGGCTCTGGGCGCTGGAGAGGAACGTTATCCGTATTCAGGTGGAGGAATCTGACCCATCTCCTGCTGCCTGTTGGGTGTCCCAGAAGAGCCCAACACTCCTGGTGCTTGGGAAAGTGATTGTGTCAGAGCGTGAGCCTGGACAGACCCTCCTGGGCTGTGGCAATGCTGGGGATGGGCAGCACTTGGCAGGTTTCAGGTCCAAGGGCTCTCTCAGAACAGCTGATTGTTTTGCCGTGGTGCCATCACTGTCCGCTGTGTCTTTGGGCACAGCTGGTGGGCTTAGTCTGTCAGAGGGAAGAGGGCTCAGAACTTCTGAGCCAGCATTTCCACTCAGCAAAAAAAAAGAGAGCTTAGCTTGTGTGCCCAGTTTTTGTGGCAGTTCCCTTGTCAGCTTCTTTGGAATGGAAGGATCTTTCCTTTCCCTTTTTTCCCCTGAAATCCTTTTATCCTCCTCTCCCTGTGGGCCAGGGTGGGCTTGCAGCACAGCCTGGTCGTGGGGCAGAGGTGGCCTGGAGGGGTGGCACGTGCACAGGGGTGAGGAGAGTGGTGAAACAGAGAGCGGGGGGGCTTGTGGGTCCGACCACCCCGCTGGGGGGTTTCTGGTGGCTGGAATTTGTCTGGTGAGATGTTCCCATGAGCTCTCAGAAGCAGCTGTGGGCAGCAGCAGCAGCACAGGGAGCATCTGACTTTTCAGTTTTGAGTTTGCACTGGAGCTCTGTCAGATTAGACAGATTGCTTAGTGCAGCTAATGAGGTCTCTGGTAGGATTTAAAAGGATGGTTGGATCATTCACAGGCTTGTAATGACCTCTGTGGCCAAAGGAAATGTATCAGGGATCAGACTGTGGTTTCTGCTAGCTAGGGTTGTGAGGGGGTTTTCTGCTGCCTGTACCCACTGTGGCACAAACATCTGGTTGCGCTGGCTGATGATTCCTGTGGATCAGAAGCACCGGGACACGCCGGGCTCGCCACAGCGGAAAAGGGTTTTTGCTTTGAAATGGCAAAAAAACCCCACAGGATCACAGAATATTTTAGGTTGGAAGAGACCTTTAAAGCTTATCTAGTCTCCAGGAGGGACCCACTGGATATGGGAGCAGAGCACAGGCAGTTCCAGCAGGTTGCTGGATCCCCACGTGCGGGTCTGTGCCTCGTGAGTTAAAATTACAGGTTACCCAGATCTGAAGGCAACCAAAACTCCCTGAGAGGGGAAAGATCTCTTTAATTCATCTCCCTGATCATCCTGTCTGGCCTCTTACAAACCAGAAGTGAAGGGGAGAACGTGCCCTTGGGGGTGCTGACTCCTGTGCAGGGGCTCCAGGATGATGCTGGGGGAGAGCATCACGCCTGTAATCAGGATCCACCCGTGGGAACGTGGCCTGCAAACAGGTTGCTGGCAGGGGTCGTGTTAGAGGTGCTTAAATTGGAGTTTGAGAGAGTGAGTGGTGATTTTGCTGCAGCAAATGAAGCAGCAACTCTGTCTGTGGGAGGTCCCACTGACCTCCTCCACCAAAGAGCAGCTCCCTGGGTTCAGTGGGAAGTGAGGCTTCAGCCTCTTGGACCGTCACTTCCCTGCCCTGCACCCCACGGGGTGGGGTGTCACTGGTGATATTCCCACTCTCAGGGTCACCCCTGAACATGATGCCTTTTTTCTGCTGTTGCGAGTGCTTAATCTGAATTAACTAACCTGAGCCATGATCAGTTGCTTATGGATCTGCTTTTGGTCACTTGTACCATCACGATTTTATTTTCTTTGGTTTCTCCAGATCGTCTCCAGCAAGAAAATAACCCGGACTCTCCTTCTGGGGAATGGGAAGCCGGCTGGGAAAGGGATGATAACGGTACAGTTACTCCTTTATGTCACCTACTGAGTGTGTAAAGGTGGATGGGGGGACACTCACCTGGGCTCCAGCAGACAGGGCTGCATCTTGTGAATGTTTTTCCCTTTACCTCCTGCTCTCTTGGCTGCTTTGGTCTGTTGAGAGGATGATTTATCTGGGACAGGGACTAACTATCTTGCTCAGTGTCTGTTTGGTGCCCAATTCCTACTTCAGTCTGAGAAGTAGGAAAACCTCAATCTGGAGAAGTGCAAAGTAAATCTCAGCTGCTGTTGTTTGTTATCTGGTGCAAGGCGCCTGCTCAGACCTCTCTGGTGTAGTGAGAGGTAAGAGGGCTCATTCCTTTTCCAGGGATGGGTGATTTTATTTGTAGGATGAGGATGGAGCTGTGCCATGGCAACAACTCTCATGGCAACAGCCGCTGAATCCGATGCAGACCCCTTCGGGCAGTGGCCTTCCCGCTGCGGATCTCTCGAGCGATGTTCTTTTTAAAAAAAGAAAAGACTAAATTTAGGTGTGTTTCCCTTCTGTTTCCCTTCCCATCATTTCTGGATCTCTGCTGTGTTGTGGGTTTTTGTGAGATGTGCAGCTGGGCTGCAAAGATGTGGAAGAAAAGGCCAGCAAGGAGTTAAACTTGGCCTTCCAGTTGAACTTCCGTCAGCTTTAAAAGCACTGGAAAGGTTTAAAAGCCCAGGACCTGGTGCTGCAAGGGCATCTCCATGGCTGTTTGCTCTGGAGGAAGATGCTTTTCTCTCCATTGCTGCTGTTAATCTTTAAATGCAAGAGGAGAAGCGGCAGGGAAGTTGAGAGGCAGTACCTGATGCCGTGTGCCACCCCACAGGAACAGGCTCTCAGCATCCCGTCCAGTGCTTGTGTGGGAAGAGCTGCACCACGTGAAAAGTTTCCAGTCAAGTTCAAAGGTCGCCCAGTTTAATAAAAGGAAGGTCCTGATCTGCCACTAATGTGTCATTGAACACCCAAGGGTCAGAACCGTCTGCTTCTTTTTGTACAGCTGACACCATTTTCTGATCTGGTGTTTTCTGCCCTGGCTTGGAGCAGGTGATGGCAACAGGGTTTTGTGTGGGGTGGATGCCTTTCCCTGCTGCTTGGCACAGCGCTGGAGCACAGGCTGTGGACACCACTGCAGGAGAGGCTTTGGACTCATCCATACAGAACATGGAGCCAAAGAGTCTTCACCCCCATTCCCTTCAGTTTTACCCGACTCTCTATTTCCTTAACCGAGATGACACAGGGGTGAATGCAACAGAAGAACCTTGGCTGGATGAACGGGACTGTGTGCAGGTCCCTGGGTGTGAAGAGAGGGGAAGATCCCGAAGCGAAGTGCTGTGTTTGTAGAAGTCAATCCCAAGATCTTGTCCCTGCTGTCCAAGAGAAGATGCCACTTGCAACCTGTGGCAGGGTGGCACGAGGACATTCCTGACTTGTCTGCACAGTCTGGCTTTTACACAGCCTGCAGTGAGCCCTAAAACGCTGGATACCAACTGGACGTGCTTTTGTGGGGATCAGCACAGGGCAGATTTTATCTGCTTCCCTGCAGCTCCTCTTCCTCCTGCTGGTTTTGGTGGCTGTGCACACCCACCAAGGACTAGGTGGGAGAGAAAACTGATGCCATGGCTTTGCAATGGGGGACTTCTGTAGGGAGCAGAGGGGAAAACGAGGCTTTATGTGTGGTGAATGGATCCTCTGCAGACCTCTTGCCCTGCTCCTGGCTCTTCTGGTGCCAGCTCCTGCCCGAGGAGGAGGAGGAGGATGCAGCCAGGGATGCTGGGGAACGGCTCAGCCCACTCCAGGGAGCTGAGGAAGCGAGAGGTGGGGAGCAGATGCTTTGGCAGGACACAGGAAAAAAAAAAAAGAAAGACAAGTGATTCAGAAAACGGAAAGGAATAAAACTGAATAAATGTGGGGTTTTGTTATAAATGTTCCCTTGAAATACCAAGAGATTCATTAGAGCACATTCCAGACAGAAGTGGCCCATTGGTGGTTGGCAGCTGAAGCCCTTCTGGAGTGTATGTGTGAATAAAGTCTCCAAGCTGAAGCGATCCAGGCTGCACTGCTGCCTCCTGTGGCTCCTTGGTGGAGTCTTCATCCTTGGGGCTCTCTTATCAGGTGGCAGTGCAGAGACATGGCTCAAGTCCTGGGTGTCACCAGCATCTCCCCTGAGGGATGGGACAGCTGTGTTTTGCCTGGGACACGGAGGATGAGGTGCCACATCTTGCTGGCAAGGGGTTTTATGTGACTCCTGTTTCCTCTTGGCTTAGTCCTTGGAGGCTTCTCTACATCCTGAATTGAGCCCTGGTGCAGAAAAGCCATGTGAGACCAGCTCCAGAGCGACACTCAAGGAAGGGAATGAGTTTTTTACTAGAAGCTTCCTTTTTTTTATTATTTTTTTTAATGCTAAAAATGAACACAGCCTTCCCTTGTCTTTCAGATAGCTGCCCAGGAGCTCTCGGATAACAGGGTGATCACTCTGAGCATGGCTGGCAGGAAACTGGATAAAAAGGTGAGTGGAGCTGTGTCCTTGGGATCTAAAGAAATCTGTCCTCGGGGTGCAACAGTGACAGAAAAGAGTCCCACTGGAGAACCTGAGGGTTCAGGTCCTGGTAGTGCCCCTGGTTGCTGGGTATGCCCGTGCCTCAGTTTCCCCATTGTCACAGTGTTGCTTTCTGCACCACAGACATGGAGGAGGAAACATTCCATGTGGCACAGGATTTATGTACTAGCATAGTTAAAGACAGCAGATTTACTGCTTCACTGATAGTCTTTTGAAAGTGCCTCCTGATGGAGCTGCAAAATTTTGATGCCGCTTGAACCTGTATCTCAGACGTGCTGAGAGCTCCTGGCTTGTGGCCCCCAGACCCACTGGAAAGGGAGCAAACATCTGCTTGTGTATCAAACTGACTTCTCTGAGGGATAGGTGTTGATCTCGTGGAGGCAGGTAATGCATGAGTTTTACTTTGGATATGGTACACAGGAATTGGTGAGCCCTTGTGAATGGCGTCTTCTGACCTTATTTACCAGGCAACCAGAGCTATTCCTCTTGAACCAGTGCTGTTGCTAAGCAATCAATGGGAATATTATTTTTTTTCCCTTCTTCCTAGTCTCTCCAGAGCTTGTGTTATTGGCAGGATGGCCCTCTGTTTGTTTGAAAACAGGGTAAAGCAAGCAGCCGGGCAGAAGGGTGTTTGCTGGGGGAGGAGGTGTGGTTTGTCCAGCCCCATTGTCCAAACTGGACAGATGGCTGGTTTATCCAAGTGGTTTTCCCACCTGTTGGGAGTGGCTGTTTTTGTGCCCTCCTGCTTATCTTGCCTAGTGCAAGGAGCTAAATGCCCCTTGTAAGAAATCCCCTCCGTGTCACGAATGTGCTGGGGGCTTCCTCTGAGATGTGGCCAAGGGTCAGCCCCTTGCCTATCAGTGAAGACATCCCTGATGCGACAGTTTTCTTCCAGCACCCCAAGAAAAAGCCTCTGCTGCCCTGTGAAGCAAGGGATGGGATTTCACAGCGGGCTTGGTGCCCTCCCTTTGTGCTTCAGCATCTCTTTGCAGCTGAGGTCGTGGTGAAGAGCAGGGCCAAGGACCCAGGTCCTCGCTGGTGCTTTGGGCAAACATCCACTTCTTGCATCAGCAACTTCATTGGTGGCATCACCTGCTCCATGGGCAAGAGTTGCCTTTCCAATTTGGTTTGCAACCAAGTTTCTCTGCCAGGTTATACAGAGGTGGCATCTTTTGATTTCCTTCAACTAGGGCATGTTAACTGGGGGTCTGCTGCCCTTCAAACCCGTAGTCAAGGTACAGGAATAAAGCATCCACCCTGGTTACAGTGGGATAAGGACTGTGAGTAACCCTGTTCTTTCTGGGTCCCCCTCCAGGTTATCAGTAGGGTCAGCAGAAAGCTCATCCTCAGTGACTGCCTGCTGTCACCAAGAACTGGTGAGGTTACTTTGCCAATTCCCATAGCCCAGTGTAGTGTTGCAGTGCTCAAAGCCCTGCTCATGGGCACGAAGGATGCTCATGGTACTTCGTGCAAATTAAAATAGTCCTTGAACAAGGAAATTGGATGGCAAACAGTATTTTGGGGTCGGTATTGGTCACGGATGGAATGCAAGTGTGGGAGCTGAGTAAAACTCATTTGAGCTTAGGAAAGACAGCAGAGAGGTGGATAAGCAACAAAACCCCAGGGGCAGCGTTGCAGCCTGGGGGGTTACAACCTCCTGTACCATGCAGCATGGAGCTGAGGAGCATGGCTGGAGGCTCAGACATCAGAGCAAGGGATTGGATCTCACAGGATTTCGTGGTGGGGCCGTGGGATCGTCCTGCTGCACGTGCCGAGCTGAAGCTGTGGGCACCCCTTGCCACCAGCTGTGCCTGGAGCTGTGCTTGCCCCCAGGCATCTCCTTCTGCCATGGTCACCCCGAGGCTGGGACCTCTCTGAGGCTGCAGGCAGGTCCTCCTGCCCATCACATGTCCGTTCTCTACACTTACAGCTCGCTGCCTTCCCTTAAATGCCGAAGCTGTGCAGCGGGAGCGTGTCAGCAGCAGATCCAGCCTGAGGCTCTTGTACCTTTTGTCAGATCAGCTCTTGGTGGAAAGCTGTTGACAGATGAAATATCTTGCAGAAGAGGAGGTATTTCCACCTGGGACCAGCCCTGTGAACCCAGCCCCAGAGCTGTTTGTGCCACTGCAGCTGTGGGGACAGTGATGCTTCGGCACAGGCTGGGGGACAGCGAGCGCTGCAAGCCAGGACTGGTGCTGGAAGCTGTGTCCTGGGGAGCTGCATCTGCTGGGATTGCCACCTCAGCCCTCCTTGTCCATGTCGTGGAAGGACCAGTTTGGATGGTTTAGATTCTTGGGCGAGTTTGCAGATCGATCTGGTCTGCCGAGCTCCTTTGGTTGCTCAGTTTCCACCTCCTGCCAGGTCTGCAGGGGTGAGGTGTTTGTGGGTTGGATGTTTTAAAATAGCAGCCCACAATCCCGTGGCTTGGAGGCATCTCCCACCTCTCTTGGAGCAGAACAAGGCTGACCAGACCTGCAAGCCAGGCTGCTCCACGTGGGATGGGAGCAGACACCCTTCAAAGCTCCCCACTGCCATCGGAGCCGGTGCCTGCACCAGCCCACGCTGTGCTGGCGCTGATGAAGCTGCCTTGTGTTGGAGGTTAAGCCAGCATGGGCAGGTCAGGTACCCACCAAAGGGATCTTTAATCCATCTGTGAAGCTTAAAAGTGCCAAGTCCAGGTGGTGGGTGAGCAGGATCAGAGCTGTGCCGTAACTGTAACACTGCAGAAAGAATGGCTTGGTTTTCTCTCCTACAGACGTGTGAACAAGGGTAGGAGAAAAATAATCTCATCTCAGCAGACAGTGTCCCTGTGAGCCCTTATGGCCTGCTCCTCTGGCAGAGGAATTTTAACTGAAGCAGTTTGTAATTTCTACGAGCCAAAACACTTTGCAGTGATTGACTTTTCTGGCTGGCTTTGGAAACAGGATTAAATAGAAACGTTGATGAGTTTTCTGCTGGGGCATCACTAGAGCCCGTGTCCATCCCAGCTGTCACCTCCTGGGCTGGCTGTGGACAGGGGGTCCTGGGGTGTCTGTGCTTCCTCCTCCTCCATGCACAGCCCCTCACATCCCCACTGCATCACTTGTAAGCCCAGAAAGCTCCTGTTCAAACCCATAAGAAGTTCCTCCAGCTCTTTGCGAGACTCGGGCACCCATTTTCCCCTGGGAGGAAAACACCAACTGAAATGACTTGAGCTCTCAGTAAATCATCTGGAGCATCTGGGGCTTGGTTTCTTGTTAGCTGCTGCTTAGTTTTTTTTTTTTTTCTGAATGGGAACGAAGCTCTGCTTAGAAAAGCTGGAGTTTCCGCGTCGGTGCCACCGGCGCTGCCCGGGCTGTGGGTGCCAAAGCAGCCCCCGTGCCAACACCCAGCAGGGATGTGTGTGTGTGTGTGTGTGTGTACATATTTCTCATAAAGCAGCAGCCCTTTATCAGGAGATTATCTGAGGAGAGGCTGGCAGGAAAGGCAGCACACACTGACTCAGGGCTGTGTATCTCTCAGGGTGCTACATGATCTCTGTCAACACCAGGGCAGCTCGCTCCTTAAAGATTTCCTTTGCTTGTGCTTTACTGCTCTGTGTAGGAGGGTGGATTTTTTTTTTTTTTTTCCCCTTTTCCCCCAAGACACTCATGCACTTCACAACTCTGTTTTTCCTTTGAAGCTTCGGATGTTTTTCCAAGGCCCAAACGCAGCTGCCTCCCAGCTGGGGTTGTTTTCTGTGGCATCTGTGTCCGGAGAGCTTGCTGGGTACTGGGCGCCCGCTGGCACATCCCACAGGCACGGGCTGGGGTGCCAACACGCCCTCCACATCAGTGCTGAAATGTGGTGTGGAAATCAGGGGGTTCTGAGGATCAGGACAGGGAGGTGGGCAGGATGCTGCCCTCGGGCGCTGCCTGTTTGCCAGCGTGCCTGAGCTGCTCCCATGAGGACAGGAGGGTGTCTGCAGGGAAGGATCTCTCTTGGCCCAGCTGTTGCTGCTTGCAGAGCACCGTGTAACCCATCCTGTTTCTTCTCCCCCCAGGACCTTTTTGGGAAGTCAGACCCCTTCTTGGAGTTCCATAAACCAGGTGACGATGGGAAGTGGATGCTGGTCCACAGAACAGAGGTGAGCAAAACTCTACCCCGAGCTGCTGAGACACCCTCATCCTTCCAGCATCTCCTCTTGCCCTTCGTGGTGTTCTCTCATCAATCCCCCATAAAGCAGGGCGGGATCCAGGGATTTCAGGCTCTCTTGCTGGTGGCCCAGGGAATGGCAGTGAGGAAAGGTTTTTAAAAAGAATTTTTGCCAGACCTTCACCTAAACTGGGAGGATGTTTTGGCACCTCCAGCTTCGGTGTGTGATCAGTGGTTCTCATGTCCCGTGGAGCCAGAACCACAGCCAAGGCAGTAGAGACCTGTACTGGGGTCCTGGTGGGGATGATCAGGGCCAGCTGACCCCTCCCTTTCCCCCCATTGATACCTGCTGTGATGTTTTGTTCTCAGCTCCCTCTGGTTATGTTCTCATGCTGTTAAAGCCAGTGATGTTATGAATACCAGGCACAGCATGGGCAGGGAGAAACAGGAAGCTTCTGCTTTAACACAGCACTAATAAGTACTTTTTAACTGCTTTTTCTCCCCTCCTCAAAGCTTATTTCAAGGCTTTCTTTGCTTGCACTGAGCTCCTGGCAGCTGGCAGAAAGAGGAGGGGGGATGCTCTGTGGCAGAGGAGGAGGGCTCCATCACACCCATCTCACTCCCCCTTTTTCCCCATCTCTGTTGTTGTCCCTTCAAGGCTTGGTTGAGGTGCCCCTTGTCCCACTGCAGCAAACTGCTGTAACAAAACACAGGATGAGCTCAGGCGGAAGGAGAGAGTGGTGTTTATTTACAAAGTCTCCTCGTATGTTGGGTTTTACCTCTTCTGTGCAAAGTCCAGGAGGATTTCCCTCACTTGCACACCCACGTGAGCACCAGGACGTAACACCCTGTGTCCTGTGGCACCGGTATGGGCCATCCTTACAACCCCAGCTCTGCTGTTTACTTTTTGGTGCTTTCCCACACACCTTTCCATGCATATTTAATTCATGTCAGCCTTAGTATTCCTCCTGTGTTTCTGTGGGAGCAGGCTGAGACGTTGCTTGGTTGTTTCCTCCTGGTTTAGTGTGGGTAGCTGGGCTTTGACTCACCGAGACACGTTTCTCAGACGGGGGGGTGGGTTTGGAGTGACCTCCAGCCCTTCCTCCTGGAGCAGGTGTGGGAATTGGGAAGGTAACTGTGCACCAGCCATCACTGGGATCTCTGTAACATGTCAGGTTTGTGGGGAGCAGATGTATATACTGGTGTTTCCTCTGGCTTGCTGCCCAGTTCCTCCGTTGTCCTGTTTCACTGGATCAGGGTCTGCCCAAGTTTTTTTTCAGCCTCCTCCTTACCACCCCTGAATGCATCCCACTGCCCTCAGAGGAATCCCATACCAGGCAACCCATCCCTGGAAGTGTTCAATGCCAGGCTGGACAGGACTTGGAGCAACCTGGTCTCGTGGAAGGTGTCCCTGCCCATGGCAGGGGGTTGAAACTGGATTATCTCCGAGGTCCCTTCCAACCCAAATAATTCCATGATTCTATGACCATCTTCGTGTTCTGGGGCTGGATACAAAGAGCTAACATTCCCCCATCCTTGCAGCTTTTCCATGCAGGAATATAACCAGCTCTCAGCCTGCTGCTGGCATTTCTCCTGCCACAGCAGAGCCATCTGGCAGGGCAGGATTGGTGTGCTCGTTGTTATTTAAGCACAAGTGTGGATGCCCAGCTGGGTGCCGTGGGATAGGGACGCCGGATCCTTCCCCACCCTCCCTGGGGACCCAGCAGCCTGTGGGCAGCACCCTTGGGGGGCGTGGGCTCCCCCCGCTCTTCCTTCTGGAGGAGGTGTTTACAAATCCAGCTATAAACTGTGCTGGCAGTGTCAGGGTATCCCCCGGTCTCGTGTAAGAGCTTGTCTGTCAAACAAGACGCCCTCGCTGCTCTGTGCTGTGACTGCTCCAGCTGTGAAGATCCAAGATCCTCCACTCCAGATATCCCCCCGTGTTTGCCCGGCACAGAGAAGGGTTAACCTGCTGCCTGTGCCTGACTCTCCTGAAATTCACGTGAATCTCTCTTTTGGAGCACAGCACCTCTGTGGAGGAGGGTCTTTGCCTTCCCTGCCCTCATCTCCCGTGTACCCAGCCCGTGCCCGGAGCCCGCTCGCGCTCGCTGAGGTTTCCAACGAGCGGTTGCGTTCTCTCAGGAAATGTCAAAAAGCATCAATTAATATTTCTCCAGCTCAGGCAGCAGATGTTACACAGATGAGACAAGAGAGCTCGATGTGCCCGGGGCTGTTTTGGCTTTCCAGGGCTGGTTGCAGCATCCTGCTGCTCCGTCTTCCTCCGTGGTCAGATCCCAGATGGATGTAGGCTGTGCTGGGGTGCTGGGGGGGTAGGGTGGGGGGGGTAAGCGATGAGTAGGGGGAAAGCAATGGGATGCAGAGGGCATAAATAGTAGCTGCTGGCCTTGAAGTTGTGGGGTGAGTGGCTGTGCCCGTGCTCTGGGCACGGCTGCGCCCACGCTGCCCAGTGTGCCGCAGCTGCTCCCTCAGGCAGGTTTATTTAATTGCCCCTGGAGGTGGATAAATCACCCAGTGCAATGAAAACAAGCCTGTTGTAACTCACACGTGCTGCAGCCTGAGAGGGGGGAGCTGCTGTGTCTCAGTTATGGAGCCAGGAGAGGACTGAGGCTGAGCTTTCTCCAGCTTTCCTGGCCTGCCCCACTGGGAATCTGCTCCTGAGTTGCTCTCAGAGACCTGTCCCTGCTTTGTGCTGATCTCCACTTGTGGATGTACCTGTTGTAACAGCATCCCTCTGCTCCCACCCCCCCCAGGTGATCAAATACACACTGGACCCTGTCTGGAAGCCGTTCACTGTGCCTTTGGTGTCACTGTGTGATGGAGATGTGGAGAAGCTGATAAAGGTAACGGGGCCCCTTCAGTTTGTTTTGTGGCTCTGGGACTGACCAGTGAACACCTAAACCCCCATGGCTGGCTCGTTAAAAAAAAAAAAACCAACAAACCAGAGAGAGCCACCCCCAAAACCAACAAAAAAGCACCTTGTTTGGGGTCTCCAGCAGGGGAGGTTGGGGACTCCAGCAGGTCTCCTCACAGGAGGCAGTTCCTGTGTCTGAGGCTGCTTTGTGCTCCTTCCGCCCCAGGTGATATGTTATGACTACGACAGTGACGGGGGGCACGACTTCATCGGGGAGTTTCAGACCTCAGTGGCCAAGTTGTGTGAAGCCCAAGATGCCTCTCCAGTAAGTGCTGATGTGCTTTTGGGGAAGAATGAGAAAGGGGCTCCTTGGGGCTGGTGGTGGACTTGGGTACTTGCACTGAGATGCTCAACCTGTGCTGAGAAGAAGCCAAGTCCAAACTCCTTTCTCCTTCCACCCACACCATGAGTGACCCAGCCATGGCTGTGGCTGAAACATCTGAGCTAGAGAGAGTGCTAAGGCAGACTTGGCCCTGCTGAGATGTCTGAAGCAGCATCTGTGATTTGGGGGGTGCCCTGTGGTTTGAGGGGCCACAGGGGGTGTGACACGCTGCTGGGGCTGTATCTGCAGCAGGGGCAGTCAGTCTGATCCTCAGGAGTGCCAGCTCCCATGCAACTCCACACCAGTTTTGTGCCAAAGGTGTCCCCATCTCCCCCCGCCATGAGATGCTGGCCACAAGCCTTGGCAGATGCCAGCTGATTGAAGGTATGTTGTGAAGTCTCCTGGATAGCAGGGCTTTGCACTGCTGTCTTCACTGGGACTTCAGTACAAGAGCAGATTTTGGCCAAGGTGTTGGGGGCGTGTGTGAAACACCGTATGTGTTGCTGCATTGAGTTTTATGTCTGGGAAAACTGAGATACAAAGGCGTGAAAGTGCCCTGCCTAGAACTGTGCAAGCTGATGGTGCCAGAGGCAGGCATTGAGCCTGTTTTACTTCTGGATTTGCTACCTACAGCCTGGCAATAAAATCTTCCTCTTCAGCACTGGAGGGAGGGTACCTGCAGGACGTGGCCACTGGTGGCAAATGCAGCCACCACGTGGCACAGCCCAGCACTGCCCTCACACCAGGGTCTGTCTTGTGTGTTCCAGCTCGAGCTAGAGTGCATTAACCCCAAAAAGCAAAAGAAGAAAAAGAACTACAAGAACTCTGGGATCATCATTGTCAAGTCCTGCAAAGTGAGTTTTGTCGCTGAGATTTTTCCTTCAGCCCCTGACTGAGCTTGGCTCTTCCCAGGCTCCCCCCCCCCATCCCTTCTGCCTCTGCCTCCTTCGTGTTCCCAAGCACAGGCCCTGCATGGCCTGAATAAAACA